TTTTTTGCCTTTTTTTTTTTTTGTCAGTAGCTCAGAATACTACTTGTTACATGATGTATCTGCTACATTCTTTGTTGGCCTTTGTGCTGCTCTAAAATATACTGGGTGCAGGCTAGATCTTTGTGCTGTTTTGGAAATGGTCTGTGAAAACCAGTGTAGGCCTCTGAACTTTCAGCTTGAGACGAGCATTGAAAAGTTAGGTTAACCTAACCGTGTTGTACTAAATTACATGTAATGTTAGATTATTTAATAATGTTGATTGTAGGAACTGAGAGCTTTGATTTTTTGCTTCTCAAATTAAAAAAGTATTCTGATTTTTAGGTCACGTCTGTTTACCAGGGAAAGGAATGTGGGTCTACTCGAAGTGTCGTCCATAGACATGGGACAATTCTTTCCTTAGTGTCCTACCCAAGACCTTATTTTCAAATAAGCAATTTATCATGCTACATATGCTTCAGCTATTCAAGTTTTCTCATTTCTTAACATAATGACAGATTTCCTCGTCTTCTTGGCTTGTGTAGCACTTGCGTTGCATCCCTTATGCTCACTGCTTTCAACTTTCTACACAGCACTGTGTTAAACTTCACATGGCTGAGGCAGAACTCTTAGTACATTCTGAATCTGGTTTCTTTATACACTTTTTCTCCCCCCCCCTCCCCCTTGTTTATTTTTAGCTTGTTCAACACCCAAGTCCATTGGGTAGTGAACAAAGCAAAGCTCCAATTCCTGTGGCTCCATCACTTGCTGATGTCCTGTGGGTGGCAAATGATGAGGGACAAGCATTTACTATACTTAGGTAAGTGAAGTATAAAAAGGAGTAGTAGAAGCAACTTATGTCATCTGCTTTTTGTGGTGTGTAGTTTTGTGTTTGGTTTTTTGTTTTCTTTTTTCCTAGCCCTTTCAGGATTCCAGCTAAACCAGCTCTGGAAACTTTGGATTTGTATTTTTCTAGGGGAGGGGTGGGAGCAGTTACTGCTCGACTGGAAAATTCTTACTGTGTAGAGTGTTCTTACCTGAACGACTTCTGAAATTGAGTCCCCTATTTTCTCTTCCTTGTAGTATATCAGATTCATTAGTGGTATTTTAATTTGTTTTCACTCAAAAGGTTTTGTGAGAGGGAGTTCAAAGGGAACGTGGGTATTGCAACGTACCGTAGGATTATTTTTATGTTTTTGTCTTGCAACCATTTTGATAAATGTTGTGAAGCAGAAAAAAAGTGCTGTGTGTGTAAACACTGATGGTTGCTTTGATGGAAAGAAAACCAGAACTACTACATTCAGCTATATTTTAAAATAAAGTTTATATATTCTTGCTAAAATTCTCGCTTGTGCCACTCTTGAGTCAGTCTGATTCACAGATGAAAGTCCATTGTTTTGTGGGTTTCACACTTTCTTCCTCCTCCTCTTCTCCTGGCTCTGTGGGACATTTTTCAAGAACAAGTATTCTGTTTGATATCTTTTTGTTCTGAGCCAGTGTGAAGAGCAAGGGGTTTTGGCAAATCAGAAAGCAGTGCTGCAGGTCTCATTTGAAGTAAAAGGATGATTAATAAAGGGAAAAGGTCTGGTTTTGTTTCTATCCAAACTCAGTACCTTTCCCATTTACTGTTTCAGGTAGAGTGGAGGGAGATAAACCTTTATGGTGTCAGTCTAATAGCTATTGTATAGTAACAGCTCAACCCTACGTTGTGACTTTAGGACGTATAATCTGTCCTGGAGTAAATGATCTTGACTGCTGCTTGACTTTTCAGAGATCTGCATCATACTTGAGCTAAGGGAGAATTAAAATATTGTTAAGGTTATGAGTAACTAAAAGTGTAAAGTTTTCTTAAGTAGTTTGCAAACATGTCTTGCTGAATGATATCTTGTTTGAACAGACAATAAGTGAGTTTTGAGATTTCCATTGCTGGCTGGGCTTTTTGTTGCTTTCTAGGACTCAATTATGGAGAACAGAAAGAAGTACAGCTTGTCATGACCTAAATCCATCTCAAGATGCCATACAAAGTGTTCCAAAAAGTAGTTCACAAAAAGACAGTCTTGTTGGTCAAGCGGCACTCCAGAAAATTTCTGCGCTTGAAAATGAGCTAACCTTGCTTCGGGCTCAGATTGCTGCGATTGTTTCAGCGCAGACACAGGGAAGCGTTCTGCCACGTAAGCCCTTCTGCTTTGCTTTGTAGTTCCTGTTCACAGCTTGCCGTGTCTGATGCTGATAGAGAACATCTCTGATTTCGTTAACTGAAGCTACAACAACAAAATTTACAGATTACAGCACTTTGTTTCTCTTAAGTACTTGGTGCCATAACCCTTCTCCACCCTTTCTCTTTTATGGTCTGTTTACTAATTTTTGTTATACTTGATCCTAAGTCACCTTTTATATTTGCTTCCATGTTTCTGAAGGAACTTTAGTCTATGGATAGTGTCATAACTACCAATTACTGCTTAAAATAATTACGTAATAATGACTACAAAATAACACTTCTGGGTTTTGTACTGTCTCTAACAACTTATCAAAATAATGGATTAAAAAAGCATTCTAAGGAAGTCAGGCTTTAACAAAAGCAAATGCTGCAATAGATTTGTCCAACAGCCAGTAGAGTCTCAGAAATTGAAGTTCATATTGAAGACCAATTATCTTGTAATTTTTTTTTTTAAGTATCCCTCCCTCTGCCCCCCGAGAAAAGAAGAGTTTTGATGTCTTGATTGTCTTACTTGCAGACTAACCCCACTGTGATTGAAACAGTTGAACTGGTGTGAAGTAGTTAATACTGGTGCACATTGTGCCAACTAAACTTAAACTGTTCAGGCACCTCTGTGCTACATTTAGGTGTTCTGTTGGCTCTTTTCTCCATTGCATTCATTACTGTGGTCTATTTTGCATGTTTTGTGATTATCTTTGCTTTTGTTTCAGCTGAGATATTCTAACCTTCAGACCATTGAGAATGAACTGTATGTAGTAGCGTGCTGCTGTGCTGATTTATCTAGTGCTTAGATTGAGGACACAAATGGAGAAAATCGGAGCAGGCCAAGACACCACACATCCATGATTTCATGTGTTCTGAATTTCTGGCTTTAAAACAAAGAACATTTAAATAAAATATAGTTGTTTTGTGGTATCATGTGTGAGTGCTTTTAAGAGGGCTGCCTTATCTTGACTTAAAACTGAGTCATCCTAGATGTTGCTTAGTGTTAATTGTGGAGGTATACTGACTAAAAATAAAATCACTTTGTTTTGCATCCAGAAGCCTTTGAAACATTCAGCATTCCAGATGGATTTTACCCAGTGCCAGTCATGACTTCTATGCCATTGTCCGTCTCTCACAACCACTTTGTGATTCCCTCTCCTCCTCCGCTTCCTTCTGGTGTGCCATCTGGTGCCGATGCTAGTAAGTCGGTAGTTGAACTTATAAAACAGCGTCGTGCTGCAAGAAGCAGTGGTTCAACTGAATCAGATAATGCTGAGCTCCAGAGGACAAAGAACATTCCCAGTATGATGGATGTTTTGAAAGACCTAAACAAAGTTCAGTTGCGAGCTATTGAGAGGTAGGTAGAACTGAATGTCTGTCTGAGTGAGCCCAGGCTATGTAAGCACCAGGGCAGTTAAGCAGCATCAGAGAACACCAGTGTGAAATGTCATTTAATGAGCAGTTGCTGCTGACAAACTTTGGTTGGCAACTTCTAAGTTCACAGCTTGGAAGGTAAGATACTTGTGACGTGGCTTTGAGATGCGTTTAGAGCATGTCAAATATCACAGCATTTAAAAACAGTTTCCTGCACTAGTATACGGATTTCAGGCTGGTGTGGGGAGGTGGGTGTGTTGCTGTCTGGAGATCACTTAAAGTTGCCTACACAGTCACAGGAAATGGATAGCAACAAATAAACTCTTTGGGTTCACTGTGACAGGACCTATCTTTGGGGAAATATTGGACAACTGCTGTTAACATGCCCAAAGTGTTCTGGCCCTTGTTTTGAAGTGTTAAGGAAAATAAATGCTGTATCTTTTATTGAAAATGCATCATTAATTTGTATTTCAATGATGCAGTTGGATCATAAATATTTTTAATGGTCTGCTGTTTCGATGGTAAGTACAGTTGACTTGACACCCGAGCAATACCTCCTCGGGTCAGCGTCGGACTGCTATGCCAGGTGTGATGCAGGTTGTCAGGTGCCTTTTCTGAACTTGAGTTGAAAAATTATATAACAGCAACAGTGTCTATAATGAATATTTGGGGCTCTTGATGTGGGAAGAAGGTCACTTGCACAACTTAACTGCATTCTTATTTCAGCTCTTTCTTAACTCTAAGCATTTGCCTTGAAAATAACTGGCACATATCTTGTGCCACTCTAAAGATATCTTTAAATTTGCCCATAGACACTCTAAAGCATGTCTTTATGCTTTTCATGACATTGTCACAGTAAATAAAGCAATTGTATAGTACATGTAGGTAAAGCATTGTATTTTCTTCATATGTTTTCCATATAATTCCATGTATGGTGAATGGAGTGGAGTGTTCGGGTTGACAGGTTTAATAACCATCATGTAGAGCAGAGGCATAATTAGTAGGAAGTGGCAGGTGTGCATCCAGACTGCTTTCTGCATTTAGGAATCTACCTGTACTCTGAAGGCGGCACTTAACCGAAAAGGGAATTTGTACTGTTGGAAGGACTAACGATGATCAAAACGGCTGTGATCGTTCAGGCAGACATCTGACAGCACTTTAATGTGAGCACTCTAAAGGGAAGACCTCTGCTCTCAGAAGCTGAGAGCCTGAAGGTCTTCTACTACCCGAGCACCAGCTTTACACGTTGGGCAAATGCTCTAACAGCCTGATTTTGTAGGAAGGGAGAACCCGGGCCTTTCAGGTCTCACGTTAAATGACATCTACTGTAACTGCCAGACTCTGAGCTCGGTGCTGTCAGTGTGCATTAATAGGTGTCACCAGCCATTGACCTGCAGATAGCACTGGACAAGCAACAGTGTGAATGCCTCTAGATTAAATTTTTTTTTTCTTTTTTTCAAATACTGCAGTTGTTAGGGGGTCTTCCTTGTGACTTATTTTCTTGGGCTCGTCACTGATTTCCACATTTATGTTGGGTATTGGGGTGCAGGTGCTGTTTTGATCTTGCATCTCCTTGGCATCTTTTGCTTTTGAATCTGGTAAAAACAGTTCTTCTTAATTAAAATATAATTGCTATTTTTTAATTTTTGCCTGTAAAACTTTCATATTTGGATGCTCAGGCTCTTATTTGAAGAGAAAAATTGTCTGAAACCCTTGTGCCAAATCTGCTGATGAATTTTTTTTTTTTTTAAATAATGAAGCTTAAGTGTGGTTTATAAATGGGTCTTTGTGGTTACCTGGCTGCATGTGTGATGAAGTGCTTGTTTTCTTTAAATATTCTTTGCCCTGAGAAACTCTTAAGTTTGTTCATTCTTGTGAGAGCATAGAAAGGCATATTGTTCTGAACTTAATGATGTTTAAATCAAATCATGTTTGAAATGGTTATGAAATAATTTAGTGGGAGATTCCTACAAACATATTTGAATATAACTTATGAGACCTGCTTTGAAAACGGCACATCTTGCTATTTTTTCCTCATTATTTATTTGTATTACCTTAATACTTTGATTTACTGACACTTTTCTTCATGAAACGGCATCAAGTTGTGTTTTCACGCCAAGAATCTGGCCGACAAGCTGTTGGTTGTACTGTTATTATTCCTCTTTGGTGAATTGCTGTAAAATAGCATTAGCAGCATTATTTGTGTAATTGGGGTTTTATAGGGCGTATATGGAAGCTGTGTTTCTGGATTTTGGATTACTCAACCCAGGATTTAAAGACGAGACAATTTTGCTTTTTTTCTAGGTCACCTGGAGGTACTCCTCTTTCTAGACCCAAAAAGAGGCAAAGCTCAGACTGGGATCCAGTTGCTCTACTGACTCATGCACTAAAGCAGAAATTCGCACATAATGATGATGATGATGATTCCCTGGACAAAGAAAATCGATCTTTTGATAGCTCCCCGTTTTCTAGTCCAGAGATCCCACTGGTATGTTCTTCTATAAGATTGTGGTTTTGTATTCTTGAAGTGACTGCTGGTTTCATGGAGAATTGCAGGGGTTTGAGTCTATAACTTCTCTACAATGCTTCTAAATAGTCAGCCTAGGTAGATGCTTTTTTCAAGTATAATCAAGGCAGAGAACCTCAAAGACTAATTATTTTGAGTGGGTTTAGGTTGGTAAATATAATTCTAGATACGCCACGAGGAAAAACTTTAAAAATTCAGCCAACTGACTTTAAAATATTCAGCTCATCAGTGATGGAACTGTGGATGTTCTTTTAATGGTGACTGGCAGGTATCCCTGCATAGAAACTGTGTCTGGTTAGTAGTAGTAGTAACTGCTTATTGACTGATTTTTATGGACAAAGAACCTAGGAAGGTACGGAGAGGTCTGACTAACATGTAGTATGTGCTCAGAAATTAAAATGAAAGCATTGGCTGTGATATTTCTTTGAGGTAGCATCATTTCCACACAGTGTGTGTGTCTATCCAAAACGAGATGTGATTCTGAATGCTGTTGCAAAGCTCACAAAGAACACGGTTGTTAGTATGAATGAGCAAAGTGCAGTGGACAGAGCCGTCGGACTTAAGGTGGTTCTGAGCGCTGGTGTCTGTGGAGCAGCCGGTGCAAGCTACGTCCAATTACACAGTCCAGAAGTTCAACCTGGAGAAGAGAAGGCTCCGGGGAGACCTTATAGCACCTTCCAGTACCTGAAGGGGCTACAAGGAAGCTGGGGGGGACTTTTTACAAGGGCCTGTAGTGACAGGACAAGGGGTAATGGGTTTAAATTGAAAACAGGGAGATTTAGATTAGATATCAGGAAGAAGTTCTTCCCGGAGAGGGTGGTGAGGCGCTGGAAAAGGTTGCCCAGAGATGTTGTGGATGCCCCATGCCATGCCAGGGGGGTTGGAACTAGATGATCTTTAAGGTCCCTTCCAACCCAAACCAGTCTGTGATTCTATGATGCTGTTGCTTATCTGAGACTGCCACAAGCCTCAGAACCGCTCAGAGGAGGCAGATAGAAATAAGTGGCAGTAATTTAAACACTGTCTCTCTCTTTAGCAATTCTATCTTTATACCCTAAGAGTGAGAGAGAGATTTGGACTGTGGCATTTGTTAGCCTAATGGAGGAAATTAATAATGCAAAACAAATCGTGGAAATACAGGCTTTCTTTGAAGGCTTGGCTGAAAATTCAAGGTGTTTCTGGTTCCAGCTAAAACTTGTTTATTAAATTTCTGATGCCACAAGTATTTCACGAGTGGTATCTGTGCTGTATTTTACAAACTGCAGTGAGTCAACAGCTCTGGTGTGGTCTTCATAAATTTCCCTGTTGACTTCTTCCCCTCGAAGGAAGTGTAACAAGTCTTCCATACAGTCTTTATTGTAGACATCTCCGTCAGTTGCCTTGGGCATAATTTTGTTTAATTCCACTCTTGCTCCCCAGGTTGGATGTTGCAGTCTGAAGCCAAATGCAAAATCTAGCCTTACAAGACCTGATGAAGTTAAGCAAGTATCGACGTGGAAAGTGAGAGCTCATATTTAACTGATGGTGACTTCTGAGGCAACTATGGTGTGTTTAAGTGGCAGGTCCACTTTGAAACTGCTGTAACATGCTCTACAGCAGGCCTCTCCTGTGCTGTTGACTTTTGGGTTGTAAAGTTTGTAAAACTGCTTCTTCCTTCTCCTTAGTTTCCCAGCAGCAAAACTTGTGAATGTGATGCGCACAACCGAAATAGGGTTTTTATTGCTATGGAACAGTGTGTTTTGAAAATAGGGAAATGCAGGAAATAAAGATGTATGTGTTTTAAAAAAAAAAAAAAGAAAAAAAATTGGTGTGGCAGCTGTGGTGTGCACTCTGCACTTCGCTGTAAATAATGAAGTGTAAACCTTTTGTTAGTGTGTTATATATAACTGACTGTATAACTTAACGGTAGCTAACACTGTTAGAATGGTATAGGTGCCTCAGTTTCCTCTGCCGTTTGCTGGTGCAACTCCATATTCCCTGTGCAAACAGTATTTTGCTGTGGAGCCCTCAATATCAGAAGGATATTGACCACTTGGAGGAGGGCCATGAGGATGATCAGAGGGCTGGAGCACCTCTCCTATGATGAAAGGATGCAAGATTTGGGCTTGTTCAGCCTGGAGAAGAGAAGGCTCCAGGGAGACCTCATTGCAGCTTTCTGGTATCTGAAGGGGCCTACAAGGGTGCTGGGAGAGGACTTTTTACAAGAGCCTGTAGTGATAGGACAAGGGGTAATGGGTATCAATTGAAAACAGGGGGGTTTAGATTAGATATCAGGAAGAAATTCTTCACAGAGAGGGTGGTGAGGCACTGGAACAGGTTGCCCAGAGATGTTGGGGATGCCCCATCCCTGGAAGTGTTCAAGGCCAGGCTGGATGAGGCTTTGAGCAACCTGGTCTAGTGGAAGGGGTCCCTGCCCATGGCAGGGGGGTTGGAACTAGATGGGCTTTAAGGTCCCTTCCAACCCAAACCATTCTATGATTCTATTCTAACTTACTTTGGGTCAGTAGATAAACTCTTATGTTTGAAAATTTGTTGTGCTGTATGTAACCTGCAGGTTTTCTGTTGCCTATAATAGTTGTGTTCTGAGATGAAAAAACGACCTTGTAGAGAGACCTCTGCTAGCGCACAGCCTAATTTCCGTATGTAAATAAACATTAGCTCCCTCCTTGGCTTCTCTGTATGAAGTCTGTTTTGTTCACCAGAGATGATAAAATTAAAATTTTGTTTACATCGTAGATGAGTGTGGTAGTGGCATTTTGTGTTGCCGACTTAACTTTTTTGTATCTTAAGATTTGACCATACTGGACAAGTTCATAAATAAATTATATTATCTAAACTTCATTAAAATAGAGCTCATGCTTTTTTCCTGCCAGGGTATTTGGAGTCCCTTATTTACAAATCTATTAGGAGCCACTGCTTACTGTAGCTGCCTTCACTCAATCTTTTGTCTCATGATCCTGATGTGTAATGCCAAAAGCCCACCAATTGGACTGTCCCTTCTATGTCCTGTGTGTCCCTTATTTCCCTGCCTGCTTGCGCAGAGTGGACTGGCAGCTGGATTCCCTCTTACTGCTGAGCCATATTGGCACAGTTGGAGGAGATTACTGTACAAATCCCACACTTCTGTTTTAAAATTAAAAGTGATCTTTTGACTAAAACTGGAGCTTAAATGACTTGCCATTTTATGCTTCTAAATGTGTTCTAGATGGACTTTTCTATGAGTTCAGTAATTACTAAACTCATACTAAACTTTATCATATTCTCCCATTCCTCTCAGTCCATAACAGTTTGACCTTCCCTTTCTTTCTACTTTCAAAACACACATTTGCTGTGTTTTCTACCTGAACTTGACAACTGCTATGAAATCCATACAGATTAACCAGCTGCTCAGGTTCTGGTTAGGAGAGAGTTAACCACACTGGCTACTGTGAAGATTATGTTTTGGATTTGTGCTGAGAAGGATGTTGGTAACGCTGGTGTCTTAGTTGGTGCGAAGTAATGTTTATATTAAACCAAGGATGTGTTCAGTTTCTCATACGGCAGCCTATGGATCAGCTGCCTTCTGCTCAGTGTCTGCAGTGTGATGAGGTGGAGAAAGCTGTCTCCTGTGTTATGTCAGCATCTGTAGATGCAGGGCATCTCTGGGTTCGTGGCTGTTCTGTTGTGACTGACAAACCTGAAGGCGGGATTCTTGCTGTGAGGCTGCATGTGAAGCTCTGGATACAGCAGCTGAGTCTCTGACTTCAGTTGCTTTATGTGACCAGCAGTTTCTTCTCTCCAGGAAGAGCTGGTTTTGGACTCCTTTTTGTATGTGTTTTTCTGTTCTCTCCAAAGTTCAGCGTTTAAGTACAACCTTGGCCTGCGCAAGCATTTTGTGGTAGGAATTTTGAATTTGAAAGTGTCTTAATTTTGGAACGGAATTAGCTCAAAATTCTTAGTACCTCTTCAACCAGGGATCTAGTGTCACACTTGAGCTGCATCTGCAAATCTCAGTGAGCTCTGAGATCCTCCAGGTTGTTGGGTTCTATCACTGATATTTTTCTTGTGCGTGTCAGTCTGATGTGAATTGTGTGGTAATGTAGTTTGTGTAGCTTATCCCATTCCTCAGGGAACAGAGTAAGTCATGGGCCACGTGATGCCATGTGATTTTTTTGTTCAACTGTGTGCCACCTCCGCGTGTCATGAGAATAGATTCTTTGTTTTATGTAGGTGAGGTTAGGCATCGAGCCCTGGTGTACCTTGAAGTCTGTGGGAGGCACCTGGTAACATCTGACAGTTGTCAGTGCTGGGAAGTTGTAAAACCCCAACAGTGATGTTTACTAACGCGAAGGCTAGTACCCACTGCAGGGGGGATTTTACTTCCTTGCAGAATTAATGGAAACTTAGCTTTACTGTGCCATTTTCTTTGGCTAAAACATCTCTATCAACAACTTGGAAGCACCTTGAGGTTCTCTGATGTTATCCGTGCCCTGTTTACCTACAAATAACCTTATTTACACAAGAGCGCTGATGCAGTGGGTCTTCAAGGTAGGGCAGCAATATGGAAGAGGACAGAGTTTTGGGGGAGAAGTGCCACACTGGTCTGCTGGAACAGTCTTGTGAAACGTTGTGCCTTATTCTTGTCACTGAAGAAGCCTGGAAAATTTATTTTCCTACCATCCCTGATGAATTTTTGGGTGGGATTTATTCCTTCACAAGTTGCTAGGGAGACCTCTGGAATGAAAATTGGGTTTGGCTGGTTGTGTGTGTGTCCCCCCCACTAGGAAGCCTACAAAAGGTTCACTGCTTTTGCAACTAATAAAATTGAAACAAAATTCCCTTCTAACCCTATTCACTCAAAAAATTTGAAAGATGGAATCTACAATGTAGCAGTTTAGTCTCTCAGGATCTGCTAGAGAGTGCTTTTAGCATTCTGTATCAGTGATCTTTCCCAGTGCAAGGAGACTAACCAATACAATGACCTGAGCTGCCAGAGTATCGCTGTTTGCTGACAAACCCCCATAATATACAAGACTTTTGTCCAGATACTCACTACTTGTAAGGGACATTTTATACCTAATGTGTCATCTCTGTGTCTGAGATAGACTCGGGGGGGAAAAGCACAGGAGAGAACATGTAACAGGATTCACCGTTCCCCTTTTCAGGAATTAATTACATCGTTCTTTAGACTTACCCAAGTAGTAAAATCGTATGTGGGGCTCTTGCCAAAGCCCAGTTGACAAAGGATCCTGCTAAACAATTTAGCCTTTGACTTACTTTCCCCAGGGCTTATGATCAATAAGTCCTGCAGGCAAGAATACTGAGGTAACCAGTGTCCCAGTGTTAGTAACTCCTTCAGCCAGATTTCACTTCTCCTTTATCTGATAACTGTTTACAGACCATAATCATAATCCCGATTCCTGTACTAGATTTTCAGAGCAGCCCTACGTGACCTACTAGTATGTTTTTCAGAGTGATGCTGACTTCAGCGATGTCTGCCTTTACCTTCCAGGATTATCTGAATAATCTATGAATTAAGTGTGTATGATTCTTTAGAGCATTTTTGTTGCGTGTCTGTGAAATCCGAATAGTTTGCAGATTCTATTCCAATGCTTAACATACTGCTGTGGCTTTGCTAAAGGACACCTAGGAAAAGGAAGCCTTCCTAAAGTTTTCCAGTGGTCATCATGGGCAGTATCAGCCCACTGTGATGAGAGAAACAATTGAAAATATTGCCCTCAGTCAGTGGCATGACCTGGTTAGGTAACTCTCAGTTGTTCTAAGACGACTCTAACTCTCAGTTGTTCCAAGTCCTTATTATTACAATTCTAAGTGAGAAAATGCAGTGTTTTTTTTCTGAGCAGCACTGTCTTTAGTATTGGTATGAATATTTTTTCCTCTTTCTCAGGCATGTGTGTTGATCACACTAAACACGTTTGGCGTTGAGAACGTACTGCTATGTACAAGATCCATCTTATGTCTTACTTTGTTGACATTCGCGAGGAATAAATTCTCATAGTCATTAAGATTATGTAATCTCTTTTATAAATAATTTGTTACTCTTCAGTGGAATGTATTAGCAACTTATTTTAAAATCAGAATTAGAGTAAGTTACCTAATATACAAAAGCAGCTAGCTTCAGGTAGAACGTCTTGGCAGTTGTGCTGTGTTTTTTGAAGAGAACTGATGTAAGCTGCAGTTTCTTTAGGAATTTGATATGGCTTTGAAGGCTTGTTGGTTCTTTTAAAGTTTTAATGTCAAACCTCTAGAATTTTGAAAACTGATGGTCACCGAAACTGTAAAAGCAAGCAGGTTTTTACAGATACGTTTTTGGTTTATCCTGCTTTATATTATTTATTTTTCAGTGCTAGTGCCTGCTATCTTACAAACTTCTGCTCATGTGTCAGCCCACCGGCCCTTCTTTCCCCTTTTATGTTGTTTGGGAGAATTATTGCCAGATACGGAAAATGATTCTTGAAAATTCTTTGAAGTATAAGGCATTAATTTCCGAATTCTTTCAAAGTAATTGTAAATTTATG